CCCTCCGAGGGGGAAGGCGGCGGCGGTGGCCGCCCCTGCTGGCGGTGAGAGGGAAGCGCCCCACTTCGAGGACTCGCTTCGCCCCCTCTCCGTTTCCGTGACTGGGGATGGCGGCGGGGATGCTGCTGCCCCTGCCTTCTCTCTCCCTCCGTCAAACTCCACCACCTGAACGCGCGAAGGCGCCGCTGCCTGAAGCGCCCCTCTCCCCAGCCCCTCGACGGCGCCCGCTTCCAAAGCTGCGGTGGCAAGTCAGGGGGCGGCTGGCCTCCTCAGCCCATGCCCGGCCCGGAGGGGGCTGCCCGTGCCTGCAGAGCTCGCCTCAGGGGTCACTCCCCCCCGGCCAGAGCAGCGTCCCCCCTTTGCCCGGTCCTCAGGCTGAGCTTAGCGGCGCGCTTCGAAGGGCGGCGGCTGTTCTCGGCTCTCCCCGCCCCACCCCCGGTCCTGGGGACGTCTCCTGGGGCAAATCCTCGCTTGGTGCTGAGGGCGGCCAGTGAGAAACCCTCAGCTCCCCCGGACGGCAGCGACAGCCGCCGCCGCCGCCGCCGGCCCTCTCCGCCTCCTGGGTGGTAATCCCTGGGAGAGCGAGAGGAGCGAGAGAGAAGGCACAGCCCCGACGTTTTGGGGGTGTGTGTCAACTCTCCGGGAGCCCTCGCTGCCGAGTCCTCTCGCGCCCTGGTCCTGCGCGGGCTTTTGGGGGGCGGGGGGGAACCTTCCTGCTGGCTCCCGAGCGTGGCTTCGCCAGAGACTGCCTGCCTGCCTTGCGTATGCTTTTATACTCCGCTCGTTCCCGTCTCTACCGGGCTGGGCTCTTTCCCTCCCTCCCCCTTCTCTCTCTCCCCCTCAAGTTTTCTTTCCTCTGAACTCGTCACAGCAAACTCCCCCTACACACACACACACAGAGAGAGACAGACAGACAGACAACTTACACTACACTCCCTGTTGCTAACTATTTGCTTGCCCCACACTGTTAACTTGGATAATTAAAAGCCAGGACACCAACTAGCAAGCGCTCCTCTCCCTAGCTTTGCTGCCTTTGACGAAGAAGGTGGTTGCTTGCAGAGCGCGTTGAAGGAAGCTGGTGCTGGATCAGACCTGAATCTGTGCTGGGTATCTGGCATAGCTTTTCCCAGCTTTTCTTAATGCCCCAAAAGAAAAGTGACTAGTTTCCCCTTAGATGGCTTTTTTTAAAATAGAAAGAATTCTGGTTTTAGTATACTGTAGTATTCTTTATGATCTGTCCTTCTGCCGAGTCTTATACGCCCTGGGACCATGGTACTTCATATAATAAAGTTAGCACTGCAGAGCTGGATGAGACCCTATGGATCATCCAGTCCAGACCCTGTCAGAGAGGCACAGTGGGGAATTGAAACCCACCACCACCACCTCTGGTTCTGCAGCCGGAAATCTAAACCATTGAGCTATCCAGCAGTGTTCTTCCTTACTACGTTTTAGGGTTTTAAAGTTTTATTTTTTCTTAATCCTGCCACCCTTTCATTTCTTGAGAACATAGGAGAGGGCCTTCTTGGTAGCTGCTCCCTGGCCAAGGAACTCACTTCCGAGGAGACAAGGTAGCCCTCTGTGTTGTCATTTCATTTGCCAGCAAGCCCCTCTTTATATAGCCTTCAGTAATTAAAATTCATTACAGTTGATAGGGGTTGTTCTTTTTTTATTGATGTGTTCATTAATTGTGCTTTTGCATTTTAATTTTATTTCCTTTTATTTCCATTTTGGCTGCCTGGAATGCCATTTTTTCCCAGACAGGATGGACATAGAAATAATATAGAATAAACTGTTTGGAGTGGTCATGTTTACATTCACTTTGCTTGACACTGTCAAATGTTAAACCCACATTTTCTTGGTTTCTTTCTTTCTTAAAGCTAATGAAGACTCCGTTTCTGCCCGAGGGAAGAATTACATTGTCAACAAAAAGCCCCAGACTGACTTACAGATAAAATAAACATAACGGGCAACACTGACATGATTTTCTTAGTTCTGACTGAGTTCTTCCCAGCACCTGCTTTCTTTTAGTGGAGATGGCAGGGATTTAATTTTGGGACTCCAGCAAGCAGTACTTGTGCTTGGTGCTGAAGTTTGGTTCTCCTAACACATATGATTGGGATGTGGGACACATGTTGGTTGCCCCCATGCTTATCCCATTCATCTTCAAAGAGGGAAAGGGTCTGTTTCGACTGTGAAGATTCTCAGTCATCCAGATGTGGTTCTCTGGAAGTTGAGTCATGGCAACTGGATTTCTTTCTTATTAGGTTGAAACGTTTCGCTACTCATCCAGACTTAAGAAGCTACTTGGATGAGTAGCGAAACGTTTCAACCTAACGAGAAAGAAGTCCTATTGCCATAACTCAACTTCCAGGTCTGTTTCAATTTAAAATAAGAGCACAGGGGCAGAGATTGGAACCCTCTCCTCTCCCATCTCTGCATGGCTTGCTGCCTGTTGCTTCATTCACTTTTCTCAAGAGTTGCACAATTAAGGAGTCCTAAATCGGTAGCACCTGAGAATACATCCCACTTAAATGAATGGGGTGTAATTATGAGCAAATATAAAGAGGATTAGGCTGCATGGGTGTGAATGGTGTTGACACTGTAACCCTCAAGCACAGGGCAAGCCTCTTGAGTCTCTCTGGCACCAGCAATAAAACTTAACTGTACATTGGTACGCAAGATCTGTGAACCGCACGAATCACAGCAGTTGCGACATTCCTTTGAAAGCTCTTATTTGGAAAGGTGAAAAAAGATCTGCTTCATGATTAATCTCTAAGTTTATTTGTATAGATCCATAGGTAAGAACTAGCTGTGATGTCAGACCAACGGCGCTGAATGTTATACTGGAGCTACAGTACGTGAAACCTGAATTCCAGCAACGGCGCTGAATGTTATACTGGAGCTACGTGAAACCTGAATTCCATCAACATACAGAATGTATAGTGGCAACATACAATGCATTTAAAAAAAGATGCAGGGCAGGAAGAAGCAAATCATATTTAAGTCCTACTGAATCTAAATAAAGCTTTATGTGAATTATCTCTATAGGGACATATGTGCAAGCTAATTGTAGATTTCATTGGCTTCTCAGAGATTCAGAGATGTCAACATGATCCAGAAATAACCTGGACCATTACTAGATTGTCATAGCGTTACTGACTGGCCACAACATCTATCTATCTATCTATCTATCTATCTATCTATCTATCTATCTATCTATCTATCTATCTATCTATCTATCTATCTGATTAGACCAGAATTCATGGTTTCCAATTAGTTAAGCCACCTGTAGTGAAGCAAGATAGCTAGCTTTTGTTTGTCTGAAAAATATTTGGTTCTCATTCTGCAGAATGGGATTTAACATGTTTACTGGCAGTCAGAGCACTCGCATCCGTAACTTACATGTACCTAAATGCCTATGACGAAGCCAGGCAGTAGGACAATATGAATATAAGGGGTTACCCTGACTTTTATTTAATTCACCAACCCCCTTGCCAAATTACAATTTGATCTCCAAATCCAACCTTGAAATACCAAAACCAAGTGGGCAGTAGTGGATGGAGGGATGGACTAGGACTCAGAAGGCCTGGGTTCAAATCTCCTCTGAGCTGTGGGCACTCACTGATGGTGTGAAGCTGGTAAAACCACTCCTTAAGTAACTCACTTCTCTTGAAGTCCTATTTGGGTCACTAGAAATTGGTTCTGACTTAACGGCACATAAGAAGAAGGAAAGTGTTAACAGTAGTATGGGCGCTAATAAGTACAAAGCGGCACACATACAAGAGAATGCCGAAAATGCTCCATGTATTAAAGTGTTTTCTATTGCAAATATCCATGGAGGTAAGCCTTGATGATTTCAGTGCAGCTTACTTACTGGTAAATGTGCCTAAGTTCATGTCGCAGGCTTTAAAAAGGGATGGAGCTGCTCAAAATGATGTAATGAAACAAGTGGTAACACCTGAATTTAATGGCGTAGAGCGCCAAAATGATTTTGTGAAGTGGCAAACCAGCTATAATGTGGCTATGAAATACACCATACTCTGAAGAAACCCTTGGACAAGTACTGTGTGGCTTCGTTTTGTTGCTTTCAGGGTTGGAACTATAAAATGTGGACGGCAGTAGATTTGAGTTATTTGAGAAAACAGAACTTGGTGTACGTTACACTTTATTTTAAGACTACAAATTGGGGGCTGGAGTGATGGAAAGATCATAATGTATACCAGCCTAAGTGACAGCGTGGTGAAAGAAAGAGGGGAAAAAAGCTTGCACATATGATCTGCAGCTGGGTTCCGGGTAATGTAAGTTCACCATGATCCTATGAAGAAGAAAAAAACACATCTTTAAGCCATCTGAGGTAGGCCTGTATTTGGCATGCATTTCCGGACACAGCATTAACTTTTGTGTGTCAAGATGTTGTGCAATGAGAATAAACTATGGTAGAACACTACTGTTGGCAGTAATGAGCTGGTGGTTTGAATCTGGGTTCTCTTATTATAGGAAAAATGTA